TGGACGTGAATAATATTTGAGTAGAGCCCACTCAAGAACACTTGAAGATTTTTTATAAATTTGAAATTGTTGTTTTTGGATATGTAGAAATGTTAGGTAGTCCAATTTCGTACTTTGTGCTCTCTCAGTTAGTCTATTTGGGAATTTCGCGTTTTTTCTGAATCCCCAACTCTTATAATAATTTTTTGTGTCGGACGTAGCAATAAGAAAGGCGTTTGTTGCTTGTTGAAAGTCAACTCCTTCTGGAGATTCTTCCAGGTGTTTCATAAATTTTAGCCAATATTTTAAAATATAATCCCTTAAGATTATTTCTCTAGTGAGTGCAAGTGTGGTGTGATCATCCCATCTTAGTGTATCATAAACTAGTCTTATTCCTGTACAATAAACATGTTCAATGGTTGCTTGTTGTTTTTCTGTCTAGAAAAACCACGTGGCAAATAGCCAGATGAAATGGGGCATCGCATATGCAGAAAAAAATTTTCGGCGCATTTTCATCTCAGTTATTGGTATTTTGCGATAAACTATTCTTAATCCGTTGTAAGTCTTTCTAATTGCTTTCAGGCGTTTGTTGATAAAGACTTCCCATCCTAATTTCGTTCTAATTTCTACTCCTAGAAATTTGAAAGATTTTACATATTCAATAAAAATTTCTTTATATTTTATTATAGGGTTAGAAACTGTTACTGCGTTATGAATGATCATTCCTTTTGTTTTTGTTACATTAACAGGAAGTATATGATCGTTTGCAAATTTTTCTAAACTTCTTAAAACTATGTTTGCTTGTTGTTCTAAATATGTTAGATTATCAGTCATTTTCAACTCCAGGGCACCTTTGATGACAATAGTGAGATCATCCGCAAATAGGTGTGAGACTACTTGTGTAAAGTACGATGGCAAAAAGTGTACATGAATACGAAACAATAGTGCCGCTAGAACTGAACCTTGTGGAGCACCTACAGAAATTCTAATGAGTCTTGATTCCGCATCGCCATGTGAAATGGACATTGTTCGGTTTTGCAACCAAACAAATATCCATTTACGAAGTTGAAGAGGCATGTTGAGCTCCAGGGCACCTTTGATGACAATAGTGAGATCATCCGCAAATAAGTGTGAAACTACTTGTGTAAAGTACGATGGCAAGTAAATATTTGTTGATGAAAACTATATATTCTTTCCTTTATTTAGACCAATTTCAAGACGAAAAAGAACAGTAAGTATTATTGTATAAAAAGGAAACTATTGGTTTTTTTATTTACAGCACATGGAAGAAGACAAAACCATCTGTCTCCTTATTCACGAGAAACTTTTATGGGTACAATGAAAGACAATGATCGTATACCCGTCAAGACACACTAGTAGTCTTAGAGCCGAGCATTACAACTAGGTCTGATTATCATAAACGTTACATGAGAAATCATGATTTTCTGTAACAACTAAAAACACAATCGGGAAAAATCACCGATTTTGAGCACATGAGTATCTCTATGTTTATGTTTATGCATCTTACCATCATCTTTGAAGTATGATTCACCCTAATTTAAATGTACTCTTTTGATACTTGACATTAAAAATTGTTTTCGTGAACGATTAGTATACTGAGTAATGTAAAAAAGAAACTAGACATTATCAAGAATAGTGTTTACATGGGCAATTGAACAGTATGCATCAAAATAATATTTATTTTAGGACCGAATGTCTACCACTGGTATTAGAATCAATATTAAATTTATTCAAACACTTATGTTTTTATAGTAGTAAATATTTAGAAACCATAAGACATGTTTTGTTTTGTAGACATTACCTATAGAAAACACTTTGATCATGGGTAAATCTATTCATGTTTATCAAAAAAAAAGTTGTACCTTTAGAAAAGGTTTTATGAGAAGATCATTGCTTTATATAAAAGAATATGCATAGTAAGGATCAGCACGTTCGAGTTTAAATTACAATTATTCAATGCAAGACATATACCTGTCAAATGAGTCTTCTTATAACGTTACATATTGTACAGCAGAAATTTTTAATAATTAATAAATTTTGCTTCGATTTCGTGTCATATATTAGGAGTCAATTAAAAGCTTCTGAATAGTTTAACACATGAGCTAATAATACATGTATCAATTTTTGTTTTGTTTGTTTCTTTTATGATTTATGAAACGCTTATTTTATCAATAAATATTTCTATATTCTTTATTAATTAATAATTAAAACTGTTTTGTGTATACTTGAAATAGCGTTTTATACAATATACAAATGCTGTGGAAAAAAATCAAACTGTTGTCTCAAAAAGAATTGCTAACCGAAAACCATTCAAATAGCAAATGTAACTACATTCAAAAAATGACATTCTTAATAAAATATCTATGTTCTTGATGTATTATTTATTATGTTTGGGAGCTTTAAGAATAAAGAATTGCCATGGGAACAAGCAATAAGTCATTTAAACCTATAGAAATGCAAAGAATCCGTCAGAAAAAGAGCTTTCTGCATTGTTTCCGGTTTTTATCGTCTATGGAATTAAAAGAGAAAACATTTTAGGAATTTTATTTAAAAAAAACACATGAAGAAAATGGTATTTCGGATGATGATATGAACATAAAAATTGATGCATTCCGATTTCATTTATTAAAATAAACATTGTAATCAAGCAAATACAATGAAAATGTTCATTTCAATCAATGAATTTGCAATACATCAATTTTTATGTACGTTTCATCATTTTAATTTTATATTTTCTGATTTTTTAAGTGTTTGGGCGGTTTTTATTTCCGTTTTTCTGACTTAAGAAAGTGACAGTTTTGATTGTCATATGAATTCCAAAAGCATTACGGAAACGAGAATGCGGAGATGAAAATCGAGAAAAGTCGTTCCTGCAAGACACTAACATACACTGTTCTTATGGCCATACAGTAAGAAAACAACGATTCTAAATAAAAAATTTATTCGATCTTTGCAAACAGATACGTAGTTACTTAATGATGTAAGAATTCTTGTTCAAGATGGTCCTATGAATCTAATAGTAGGTTACTGTAAAATAATTTTGGCCAAACATTTAAACTATACTCAATACTTTTCAGTAGATTTCTTCTACATAAAAGTATATTATCAAACTCTTTTTAAGCAATTGTTCGTTCAGTTCAACGTGAATATTAACAGTAAATTGTCTTACAACAATAGATAAGTTTTATCAATACTTTCCTTGTTTTTGAGTGTATACTAATGCATAGTTTAATGTAATCCTAAATGAAATTGTCGATTTTTTTTGACAGAAAACAAGACAATTTAGTTTTATATTCACTACTTTTTTGAAATCTATTTATATTAAACTCAATTTTGATAAACATTGTACATGTTCTTAGAAGTAGTAATTATCTAATGACTGAGAAAACATCCTTGTAATTTCGTGACATTAATGCAAAATTATGAATCATCAAAGCTATTGACTGTTTATTCGGATCATCTAAGTGTGTGTAATTTTTTACAGAATATAAATATTATGATCGTTATTGGTAATGAATTGAATATAGGTAATGCAGAAACTACGCAAAAAGAAAATATATGCAAATACGATTCATGTAGATTTCACATTGAAGCAATATTTTTATTTATCGAGACATCGTACTCAATTAGTTTAAGTAGATTTGTCCGACGCAATGATTAAGCGTGTAACAGCCGTTTTTTCTCGAAATCCGAAAGTTTTGGAACCACATCCAAAAGTTCAACGACCTGGTTCAATTATTAAAGAATTTTGTTTAAATACATCAACACATGGTTTACCTGGTATTGCACGTAGTCAAAGTATACCAAATCGTATATTTTGGTCTGTTTCAACACTTGCATTTACTGGTATAATGATCTATTTTATTGTTCAAGCTATTCATGCATATTTCGAATATCCTTCACAAACATCTGTATCGGTTATATTTGAATGGCCTCAAGCTTTTCCTGCAGTAACTATTTGTAATTATTCTCCAATACGATATGAGAAATTTATTGGTTCTTTTTTAAACTATACTAATTCATTGAATTTAACAAATACAACAGACACAACCAATTTTACTGCTACACAATCTTTATATATTGATGATTTTCTAATTCATAAATTCAATCAAGGAGATTCTTTTATGGATTTTTTTTATCCACTTGAGGAAATGATGATAAGCTGTGCATATAATGGAATGTCATGTTCAGCAGCTAATTTCACTTGGTTTTTGTCAGCAGTATATGGTATGTGTTATACATTCAATGCTAAATTAAAAAATGCTACTAATGATGGTATTAGATATAATGCTGATTATGGAGGAAATGGCGTACTTGAACTACGTCTATATGTACATCGGCATCAATATGTACCTTACAGATCAAATGGTAAGCACTATATTATGATTTCATAATAGTGCACTTTATTTTTATAATTTCTTCTATATATTTTATGTAAAGCTGTTGGTATGGTAGCGTTAATTCATGACAATGCACAGGTGCCTAATATTGAACTGTCAGCAGTGTATCTTTCACCTGGACGACATCACAAACTGGGCTATACAAAAAAAATTAGTAATTTTTTGCCGTCACCTTACACAGCATGTAATGATAAAGTTAGTCTTGGATTGCAAGCTGTGATTGATGAATATCACGGCACTAATTATGGATATTCACGATATCTATGCTTTTATGCCGGCATGCAAGCATATATGTAAGTAAGTCAAATGTATTTTATACTGATTGTTTAATCAAATTATTCATTTCAGTTATCAAATTTGTGGCTGTGGACATCCTTTTCTTTGGAATATTCGTTCTGTTGTACTTTCAGGCGATGATAAAACAACTAATATATCAGTTTGTGATGTAAAAAATCCATGTTACGGTGAGACAAAAGCAACTTTTATGAACACAGAATCTATTTGGAGAACTAATTGTCCTGATTGTACAGCAGAATGCTCCAATATTGATTTCATTATGAAATCATCGTCACTTTTGGCACCACCTGAATTTCTATTCGATAGTATAAAAAACTTTGTTGAATCATCAAATATTACTGTATCTGCAAAGTGGTCAACATCAATGATTGAGGAAATTCAATCCAATTATGTTTGTTTGGAAGTTGCTTATGACAACACACGAACCGATGTCTATTCTGAACAAGCAACAATCAGTCCAGTTGATGTTCTTTCTAATGTTGGTGGACAAACAGGTCTTTGGATTGGTATTAGTTTTCTATCGTTGATAGAAATTGCTGAAATGATCTATCGACTTATACATTATCAATATTATAATCTTCGAAGAATTATACAAGACAAATTTAGAACACAGAAAATTGATAGTCAATGAATTAAGGATAATAATAAATTTGAATAAATTCATCAAATTATGAAATCAGTTTTTTGATATTCATGAGACGAATAAAATTAAAATTTTTCTTCTCTGTTTTATTGACTTTTTTTTCAAGAATGAATAAAATCTTCTCGATTGATGAATTTTACGCATTGAAATTATGTTAATCAACTTTTTCCATAAATTTTGTGCTGCGTTTATATTAAAGATCTTCATCGTATCTATAGACATCAATCTGTCTATTTTGTCAACGCAAATATTTCAATAATCTCTATTAACTATACATATATTATGCCTACTCAGTTATAAATTATATATGTAAATACAAATAGAATTTTTATTAAGTATTGATCCAGTGTTATAGGTATTTATACATTAATGCACTAATTATTAAGTCATGCAAGAAATATCATATAATATAATCAAACATATAATAATCACTTTGCTCACAGAGCTTGAGTGGCATACTCTCAATGATCGTGGTCTTGTTTGTCATTTACAAGGAGTGTTTTTGTGTACTCAAAAAGTGAGTACACTCTAGAATCGGTCAGTGTGTCCGGCCGTCCGGCCGTTTACACGATAACTTTTGAAAGGAGAGTCCGATCACGATGAAATTTTCTACACAGTTCAGTCTTAACAATATCTCGGTCGAGTTCGAAGATGAGAAGAATTGGCCGAACCGTTCCTGAGTTATTGCAAAAATACTCATTTTTCCCTATGGCTTCCTATGCGAAAATCGATCCATCCCCGCTTTCGTAAAAAAATTTTCCTATCATAGTCAAACAAAACCCCAACTATTATATATCATTCGATAGAGAATTTTACGAGCTAGAAAATGGTATATAAAACATAAAGAAACAAGAAGGCTAGCTCACCTATTGCAAAGATAAATAAACGAAAATCGGTTCTGTTCTTGTCTACACTCTAACTGATCCACAATTAGAGCACTATCTTCCGATAAGAGATGATGCTTGAAGGTTTTCTGTGGTGGAGAACTCGAATCTGTACTCCACTTGTTTCGAAGCCCTATTGGTTGAGCACTGACCAATAGAAATCAAGTTATAGAAAAAACGATTTTCTGAGGGTAAATTAAGGCGAAGAGTTCAAATCTGAGCTGTATTCGCCCCCAAATTCTATTGGTTGAGCAGTAGTCTATAAAATTCAAGTATTTATAGATAAGGTTTGCCAAGCTAATTTGTATATCCACACATTCTAGGATGACTGATTTGTCTCGTTCACTTTTTGAAGTACACATAACTCTCGGACTTAAGTCCGAGGTTTCCACATTTTTTTTCATTATTTTCCTAAATTGAGAATATATTACTAAGAAACCTCGTCGTTTTGTGGAACTCATATATATATATATTTGAAGAACATAGTGAATATAAGTTGTAAGTCAACATTTTTCGGATCATATCCCCGAGGACAACATACGTCAATCTCCTTTTGCAGCATTCTTTAGCAACGAGAAAATACGTTGAACGGTATGAACAACAAGACTTTGACTGTTCTAGAACGTTCTAAAGCTTTCGTTGAAACTTGCATGGATGAAACACGCTTGTCAATGTTCTAAATAGTAAAGTTTTTGATTTTTGTCCAGATAAAAGTTTATGTCTAAGATATCAACGATGATAGTTAATGATGCGTTGACTTGCCACAGTCATCAGATGATATAAATAAGAAGCGCAGACTGATCAAGTTATAACTTTCAACACCAATTTTTCTCGGCTTATCAAGCTAGATAATAGGGCACTGAGACCTGCTGTAGATATAATGAATATGTACAACAGGCTTATTTGCCAGTTAAATTAAATCTTAGAATAAGCATAATGCTAAATTAAGAAAAACCGAATACGAAAATGAAAAAAAACAACTAATGAATAGCCACAAGACAAACAGTAAAAAAAATCCGTACGAAACGTGGAAATAAATAAGACAGATCATTTCTCTGGCGATCGATTATTCTTGGAAAGTAACTATAGTGTGCTAGAGATTTTTCACTTAACGTACTTTGTATTAGTATAATGAGGTTAACGAATTTGTTGAACAGTTTTTTTTTGAGAAGAAAAATCTTTTTTTTTATTCGCTCCAAAAGAGAGAGAGAGAGACTGAAATTATTTTATTAGTATAAAAAAGACTAAAAATGGTTGTTTTTCACCGTTTATTCTAATATGCTCGTATTTTGTATATAAAGTTATCGAGAATAATCGAATATTTCTTTATCAAACCGTAACTATCAATGTGGTCCGCTTCAATCGTTTATAATTAATATAGATTAATAGCTTCATTTGTTCTTATACCAATAATAAATTTACCCCATTGAATAATATTCCAAGGTTGATAAGCAAATTTATCCATTTTCAGAAGTTTTCCATTATTGGATATATGATAAAGCCGACGATTTAAAGCATCTACAACCATCCATTGTTCACCATGAAGTAAACAACAACGAAATCCTTGTCCAACATCGACTGACCAAAGACGTTGAAGATTTATCGAAGATTTAAGATCAAGACGTGTTTTATCATTTTCAGTATTAAAAATAACCATTGCAAGTGTTTTCTGATTTGCTTTAAGATCAAAAATATATTCACATTGTTCACATGTTTCTGGTGAACTTCGTTCTTTGACGTTTTTACTTGATGGTGGAAGTTTATATTCAAAAATAGATGGACCCAATCCTTGTGCTAATAGAAATAAAGCAGAATCAGAACAAGTTGCACGACTTAATTCAACATCTGACGAAATAGGACATTTTGCAATCGTCATTGTATTTTGATCGAGTGTAAATACTTCTTGATTTGTCACTATTATAAATCGACTTAATGTTGATGACCAACACATATCCCAAATATTATCGTGTGTCCATGGTGTTTGTTTAATAATTGAAAAATGTCGATCAAGTAAAGAAATATTTGGTGGTTGATGTACTAATAAATTTTTTTCATTATTAGCTAAAGCTGGAAATTCATCAAATGGTAATTTCATTGTTCGACAAGGTGTAGGTAAAGGAAAAAGATCTCGAATAATTAGATTATCGTCAATAACAAGTGGATGTATAGTAAATCGAAGACTTTGAAATTCACTAAATTTTTGTTCAATTAAACGAATATCTTGTGTAAGTAGATCAACATCTTGTTGAACGGCATCATGTTTTCGAATTAATTTTTCCATTATATGTCGAACACGTTCAACTTCTTTTTCTAATTTTTCCCGTCTATCATCAATTAAATCTCGACGTTTTGATTCATAATATTGTTCAACTGTTCGATGAGCTTCATCACGCCATTTTTCTAATGCTATAAGATAAGAAGGTTCAATAGATGCGAATTTATTTAATCGTTTAGCCAATCCATTTATTTTATCAGATAATGGTGGGATTTTATTATTAATTCGACCAAAATGTTGTGTTAAATGTTCAAGACAATAACATTTTTCACAACATATACATACAGTACGTGATGGGCTTTTACATCCTTCGATAGTACATGGCCTGCTTGACGATGCCATTTGTTACCAGAAACAAGACAGGTGTGAATCGTTCAACAGAAGAATGTATGAAAAAAAACGATTGTTTGCATAAAACATGCATATCGTAAACTTTTTTTTAAATGGTATTAACAAATGATGAAAAGAAAATATGAAAGGAATCGTCAGCATGTAAAAAAATAATGTATGTTTTAATTGATTGCTGTACAAAACATGTTATTGTTAAACTTCTTTTTTTCTTTCTTTTCAAATTGTCAAGCAATACAAACTTGCAATGGAAAGTACACGTTGATTGTTACTCAATCCTCAAGGCTTAAGACAACGTGTTCGTGATAATTATCATATCGATTGATTCATTTGTTTATCTACAAGTTTATAATAACAATGAATTCAAGTTTTGAATTATTAAATAAAATTGTTGCCTTCAACGTGCTGGACAATTTCAACAATTATAAACATTTAATTAAGATTATGCTTCTTAATTTGTATAGTTGATGTTATACATACATTCGAATATGTCCCTAAACTATAATTTTACATGACATTCAACGAAATTTTTTTTTCATTGTTGGCTTTATCTTCAGATAAAGAATAATGAAGTTATTTTGTAATGAAATAGTTAAGAGTATTTCTCTTCCCCTTTTATGATCATTGCATAGTCTGAAGTAGTATCTATCTACTAAGTAGATTTCAGGAGCGAAAAGTTGTCTTTAAATGTTAAAAGATCAAAATAGCGAAAACTGTATCTATTAAAAAAGTAAGGGGTGTTTTTTAGCAAACCTTCGGCATTTTGGTAGAGCTAAAAATAAACAGATACCCATTCATAGCAGTGTTTAGTACCTGTCAAAAGATTTTCAATTTGATCGAACATAGCATCTCCGAGAAATCGGAACGAAAATCATAGAAGAGACAGCACCTAGGAGCTTTGAGTGGATGATAACTTTTGCTCTACTTGTCAAAATCTACCTGCACTTGGAAACTTAAAATATTTCTCATCAGTCGTTCTTCAGAAACCCCACAAGGGGAGAGTACTCTTAAATGTAGTTCGTTTAATGAAAAACTAAAATAAGAAAATTATGATGACCTACACAGTCAATTCAAGTTTTTTTCTTCAAAAGAATTGTTTCGTAAAATATTCTTTTGAGTTAATAACATTTTTCTAGCACATACAGTGTTTTATCATCGTCACTCAGTCAAAGTCTACACAAAAATACAACTTGAAATCTTGTAAACTTTTACGATTGTAAACTTAATTTATTCATCGATATAACATGCTTAAGGGTGTCCAAAGTTTTTCTTTCATTGACACTACCAATTTATTTGTATTGTTGAAAGGACATTCGTATTAGAAAGAAAGCTATTTCAATATGATAATATATTAATATTAGAATCCGAAAATGAGAAATATTCAATCACTTTTATTGTAAGCATAGTGTATATTCGACAAGACAAATTAAACTTATGCTGAAAAGTTATTTCCCAACTTCTTAGATAAGTCAAAAACAATT